TATCATACAAAAAAAAATAAATGAAGTTTATACTAAGTGAAATAAAGAAAGGTCTACAGGGAACCAACAGTGGAGAGGATGAAGCTGAGAATCAAATCAATGATTTGGAACAAAAGAAAGAAAAAAGCATTCAATCAAATCAGCAAGAAGAAAAAAAAATTAAAAAAAAAAAATGAGGACAGACTTGGGAACCTCTGGGACAACTTTAAACATACCAACATCTGAATCATAGGGGTGTCAGAAGGAGATGAGGAAGAGCAAAAAATTGAAAACTTATCTGAAAAAATAATGAAGAACTTCCCTAATCTGGCAAAGGAAATAGACATACAAATCCAGGAAGTACTGAGAGGCCCAAGCAAGTTGGACCCAAAGAGGACCACACCAAAACAGACAGTAATTAAAATGCCAAAGGTTAAATATAAAGAAAGAAATTTTAAAAGCAGCAAGAGAAAAGCAGAGAGTTATCTACAAAGGAGTTCCCATAACACTATCAACTGATTTCTCAAAAAAACTTCAGGCAAGAAGTGACTGGCAAGAAGTATTCAAAGTGATGAAAAACAAGGACCTACACCCTAGATTACTCTATCCAGCAAAGCTATCATTTAGAATGGAAGGGCAGATAAAGTGCTTCCTAGACAAAGAAAAGCTAAATGAGTTCATCATCACCAAGCGATTTCATTACATGAAATGTTAAAAGGACTTATTTATGAGAAGGAAGATCAAAACTAGGAACACTAAAAGGGCAACAAATTCATAACTATCAACAACTGAATCTAAAAACAAAACAAACTAGGCAAATAACTACAGCAGGAACAGAATCATAGATTTGGAGATCATTTGGAGGGTTATTAGCTGGGAGAGGGAAGGGGAGAATGGGGGAAATGGTACAGAGGTTAAGAAGCATGAATGGTAGGTACAAAGTAGACAGGAGAAGTTTAAGAACAGTCTAGGAAATGAAGAAGCCAAAGAACTTATATGGATGACCCATGGACATGACCTACGGGGAGGGGCTGCTGGAGGGAAGGGGGGTACTGGGTAGAGGGGAGCAAATGGGGGAAAAAATTGGGACAACTGTAATAGCATAATCAATAAAATATATTTTAAGAAGATAAAATAGAGAAATAAAGAAGAGAATGAAAAGCTGAGGAAAACTCTAGTAAAGTCTTTGATGGCCAGTTGAAATTGGTGAACATGAATTTGTAGAGGTACAAATCTATATGCTAGGATTTTACCTTGCTGGTCTCAGCAACTCAGTTCATTCATTAAAGAAGGTAAAGAACTGAGATGGTCCAGTGCTAAGAATTTGACAGCAAGAGGATACAGATGGATACAGGTATGAGAGTGACCAAAGATGTAATAAAAGAGCAGTTGTAATTGAGGTAACTGAGTGGGGCTTAAAAAGATGAAAGACTATATGTTAAGCAACAAGCAGTAGGTCTGAGCTTTGAATTTCAGAAGTCGACCACTTTCAGATTAGGGGACATCACTTCTACTCCCCCACCCCAAGTGCATCTCAGGCAATTATCATACCCTTCCTCTGCGGCTCCAGCTCTCAGTGGACTCTACTTTCACCTTCTGTCCCTTCCAGTTGTTGTTAGTTTCTATTCAGGCCTCACTATCCCTTGTTTGTTCCCCCACACTGCTATGCCTCTGAAAGTAGTCCCTTTATTAAAATCTTCTTGTTGGAACTATATGGAGGAATTCTGATTCCTGCTGAGACCCTGATTTATCCAGATACTCATTATGTCAATCAGTGGGGTTTCATTAAAATTAAAGTCAACTATTCCCAGCTTTTTGTCTTGTCTTTGAATAAAATTATAATACAATAAAGTTAAAATCATATATCCTCCAAAATCACAGAGCTCTGTAAGAGGAAAAAGCGTTAAAAAATTTCGTCAAAGATGAAACTAAGGGCCAAACCAGCCAAAAGCAGCACAGTTAGCAAGTAACAAAGGGAGAACTCATTCAGTGTAGCACAATGATTATTAATGCTAACTTTGTGCCAGGTAACATTCTAGGTGCCTGCTTGGATCCACCTTGTGCTGTATATATTCTAATTAACTAAAATCCAGGTTTCCCAAGCCCAAGTGTCCACTGTTCTTTCTATTATTGGCATAAAGATTTACTGTAAAGGGGAAATAGTAAGCAGAAGGAATTACTAAAACCAAAATCATAAATAAAGCAAACTGTATGGCCCACCCCAGTAATAAGTTAAAAAATGTTCATAAAGTTTCAAATTTCTGTGCCTGACTATTAAGTCACTCTGTAATTCAAAATGAACTCACTTAACCAGTCAGTGGGCCTTTTTTCCTGGTGTGCTACCCAAATGTTCACTTGCCTTTCCTGTGAAGGACCACATCCTTCCTGTTAAGGTCTGACTTCCATCAAGCCTTCCCAATTACTGTATCCCAATATATCCTTCCCTCTAAATTCTTGCTGTTCTTATACAATTTAGTTTTTAGCTATTCTTCAAGAGGGCAAAAATGCCCCCTTAGAATTATTTTATTCCCAGTGTGTGTCAGGCATTTGCTAAAATTGGGATATACAAAATGACTGAGACTAATCCCTGTCCAGCAAGAGCCTTATCTTTTGACAGATATGTAAATACCAGTAATAGCCACAGCCCCTAAGACAACTTATGGATAAGACAAGTGCTAAGTAATTATAAAATTCACTGAGTTAGAAATTTTCAAAGCAAAAAGAACTCTTAGAAATAATCTATGCCCTGGCTGGTGTGCCTCAGTGGATTGAGTGCAGGCCTTTGAACCAAAGAGTCACTGGTTGGATTCCCAATCAGGGCACATGCCTGGGTTGCAGGCCAGGTCTCCAATGTGAGGGGACGATGTTTCTCTCTCTCCCTACCTTCCCCCCTCTCTCTGAAAATAAATAAATAAAATCTTTTTTTAAAGAAATGAAATAATCTAGTTTTATGTATCCTCTGAGTATCAGAAAATGGAGACTGAAGCCCAAAAAGGCCAAGTAACTCACCCCAAGCTATAGCGCAGATGAGTGGTTGCTCTGACCTCTCAGCCAAATTACTTTTCACTATAATTTTCAAACTAAGGCCCAAGGATACCTGTGTGTCCACAGCTTCAAGATTGATAATTTCCCTATAACTGATTTAAGTTTATGTGTTTATATCAATAATAATTATTTTAAATTAACATAAACATAAACTGAATCATGTGATCATAACTAAACACTACTACACCACTGGATTTCACCAGACACTCTAGGGGATCCATGAACATATTTCCCAGGCTGGGAACAATTCACATTCCAGCATACTGCTTAGCAGAGTGGTCAATGTTATTTCTCATTCCAGTCAATTTCAAAATCCTCTCTACTCAAAAATGGCCTAAAACTCATCCATTCAATAAACAGTTAAGCTCCTACTATGTGGTAGGTGCTGTACTAGGAATCCTGGTTAAATGAAGAGGAGTAAGCTGGAAAATGGGTGGAAAAGTGATTGAGAAACTAAGTGTATAACCAACATTTCCTGTATGGCTTAATGCTGCCACTGCCTGACACTGGAAATTGTCCAAAATCCTTTATTAGAAGACTGTCTCTGCCAAATTTTTTGAGTACCAATTTCTTTTCCCAAGTTTTATATAACAAGCTCTCAAATATTTGTGGAATAGAAATTTAACATGGCAGGTTAACAACAGTCTTTTCAAAAGAGAATAGTCCAAAATGATATTATATTTAGTACAGGAAATTAAAAGCTTGACAAGAAAAAAAATCATTTTCTGAACCTCCCAATCGTTTTTCCAAATTATAACAGGAGATCATCTGCTTCTCTTCTTAAAAGGATTGTTTCTACTTAAACAAAACATTTAAGTAGTAAGCACATTACCCTCTTTCTATTACCACCCTTTGAGTCAACAACTTTTAGCACACAGATGATCCTTTTGGATTTCAGTTCTTTGCTATTAGCGACTTACACTGAATCTGCCCAGAGTGTACTAATGTATTATTAATCATTGGGAGATAGATCCACATTAACCAGAGTTAGAACTAGCTTCCCAGTATAGTGCACCAGATGATTTATTTAAATAAGATGTGGTTGATTTTTACAGGATTTTTCTAAAGTTTTCCTCGTAGGTTTACTCAGATTCGTAAAAACAATGAAACAATTTTTCTCATACTTATTGGTATGATTAACCTTCAGCGACTAAACCTAGTTTATTCCCATTTAAAAACAAATTCTTTCAAGAACTGTTTGTTGGAATCAAGCAGTGTCTCTTTACTAAATGTGAAGGAGAGATTAACTGTGGGTGGGTGCGCGTCCCAGAGCCTGATTATGCAGGGTCTCAATGACAGTTGAACAGTAACCTGACTTCAGGCTAGTCCCTTGATTCCGGTGTTGTTTCCACAGAAGGATCTACCTCCAGAGGAACCGAACCTGTCACAGGAAAATACTTAAGACAGTGACAGGAGCCTAGGAAATGCCCATCTAGCTCTACACTGAGGCAAACGTAAGCAGAACGTGCCTCACACTCTGCACCAACATATTCTCGAGCCCAGTCAGGGACAATAGCTCAGGGGCGCAAGGGGGTGGAGACGCAATGCAGGACCCCTTGAGGGTCAGCGTGCGGAAGGCCGGGGCGCTGGGCGAAGGCAGCGGAAGCACTACACTGCTCCCCCTCCCCGTCTGCGATGGATGTCTGACAGCAAGCGCAAGCCTCCTGACACTCCCACCCACCGCACCACAAACCGGGCAGCAGCCCTGCCTGTTCGCGCCTCTCGGGTTGGCCCTCAGCCAGGGCGTCCAGGCTCCAACACGTACCTCAGCCCGCCGCCCCTCAGGCACGCTCGGACCGGGTCCCGGCCGCTCTCGCCACCAACAGCCTTACCTCCACTTCCGCCCACCGGGAGTGCCGAGGGTGTCGATCCGCCGGGTAGCGGAGCACCGAGTTTCCGATGGAACGAAACTGGACGGGGCGGGGACGGGGCGGGGACCTGGGGTGTTCTGCGGGGGAGGCGAGGGTGGTGCTTACCGACGGAGGCTGTGGGTGGTGAGGTGGCTCTCGAAAGCCACAGGACCTTGGAAATTGTGGGGGAGAATGCCACTCTACTGCATGAAGATCCTGGGAGCTGATCGTTTAAATTCAGCTAACGCTCCTGTGGCATAGGCGCGAGATGTATAAAGATGGATGACGCGCATTCAGCTTTCAAGGTCTCCTTGAGCTGAGTTTAGCCCGTGGTTGGCGACGAGGAATCACCTAGGGAGCTACCGCACTGTCTAGGCAGGAAATGACGTGGGATGGGAGAAAGTGATGCTGGGGAAATGACAAAATACTCTTCTAGTTGCTTCTATTTTATTAGCAAAGAAAACAAAACAAAACCAGCAAGAACATCCGTGAAAATGGAGGATGAGGGGCAAGGAAGGTTTGAGGAGAGTGAAATCTTTGTCTTGGATATTGTAAGGCAAATTGCCAAGAAAATGTGGTAAGGCTACCAGGCAGGGCTGAAAGCCTTCTTGGGAAGTTATCCTAAGTTTAAAATGAAACCACTCATCATGCTTTTGTATGTTTTGCAGCTGCGATGTAGGTAGTAGAAAATTAGTTGTAAGCAAGGTCGGAGTTTTACAAGGCAGAAAGATCAGGGAGCAAAGGAGTTAAGAGTCTATGCAGAGAAGTGACATGGGGAATGATAGAGTTGAAGCTTGTGTTGCAGGGTTTTTAGAGGGATTTTTCTGGTCATCCTGGAATTGACCGCTGAGATTGCAAAAAGGGGGCAGGTAACTAGGGTGATCCCATTCTGTGTGAGATAACTGGTTCTTATTTGTTATCCTTATTTAATTATCAAAAGTGCCCCATTTCCTGTCAAAAGTGCCCCTGTTTGGACAATATATAATCACGTTAATGTCACCCCACGTTATGAAGAAAGCCCGAAACAATTGGGTCAGATACTTCTTTGAGGCTTACAAAGGATTTACCTAAATGGCTCTGAACCTGGTTAGAACCAGACATATAAGAGCCTGTGTTTAGTGCCATGAGAGTGGAGATGAGCATCAGGACAAAGTTCTTGAGAGTTTACCTGCATGTGGGACTGTTTGTGATTAAGAGAATGCTACCTGCTTTCAGACCAGACGTTCCCAAAGATAAGAGACTTGTTGAAATGACTGGTTCCAGCTGAAGGGAGAGTAGCATAGCCATGAAGCAGAGGCATAACCATGGTGAGGGTGTTGCCACCTCTCACCCCCTAAAAACTTTACCTTTGGCCCATTTGTATGTCACATGAATGCCCACAAGGGAACATCCACAGCAGAGGGACACCAGTATCCGGGATGATTTGACCAGCCTCTTTCCAGGGTCACCCAGTGTTTGGGCAACGGACCTATGAATGGAGTAGCCATGGTGGCAGGGATGGAGCTGCCTCTCAACAAGGCAGATTCTAGACAGTGTGACCACCCCCATCGGCTGCAGTGGCCAATGTGCAGCCAGTGTTATACCTTCCCTCAAGAAGAGCAGACAGCCACAGGTGGATCAACTTGGTAGCCAGTTGATTTCCACAAAACCAGATACATATCCTGTGTTTGGGTTTGTCTTCCTGTCTGCAGGGTCCTAGCAAGCAATGCTCAGATTTCCCATAATATCACCTGGGACCAGGGACCCCCCTTTAGAGTGAAAAAGGTATGACAAAGGGGATGAGACCACAAGATCCACTGGTTCTGTCATATATCACACACCCAGAAGCTGGTAGATAGAATATAAGGATAGAACATTAGAACAGTCTCTAACATTACAGCTAAGGCTTTAGCCTGGAAATAACATTTTGCAGGATTGGGATGCTGTGCTATGGGAAGCAATATATATTTTGGTATATATATATACCAGGGTGCTGCATCCATGAGTCCCTGATAGAGTCCTGGCTCTTCTAGCAGCAGAGAACACTCTGCCAGGGACACAAACTTCCTTTAAATCTAAAGCCCTCTCTTTGTTTGGGCTCCTCAGATAGGCAATAAAAAATTGATCCTATCATCAGGAGGAAATAGGAGCAAGGAAGATTATTTCTGCAACTCAGACACTCACTGGACATCTTTCCCATGCCTGATGATATCAGTTAATGGGCAGTGCAACAATCCTGGCAGGGCAGGGCGTGGCAACAAGAGCTTAGACAATGGCCTGGGACAAAAGAACACAGGCATAAAGGTCTGGGCCACTTCAAGGAAGCAACCTAGACCAGCAGAAGTGCCATTTGAGGGTGAGGGGAATCTAGAATGAGGGACACAGGGAGAAATAATGGAAATCACCATGACCTTGAGACCAACTGTAGCAGAAGTCCATAACTCAACTTAATACTCCTGATGTGGCTATAACTGGACATCAGAATGAAGAATCAGTACAGGGCAAACTGAAGACAACATGGCATGTGGGGGATGGACAGTAACAGAGGACACCAGAGCCAGCCCATATTTCTCTATTGTCCCTTCTATTCTCTGAAGTCTTACTTCTGGGAAAGCCTGCCCATTTGTACCTGTGCAAAGTTGGAAGAACTGACGAGAGTTCTACTGGGCCAGAAGCAGTCTTCAGCCAGACAGGCTGCCTCTCCCCTGGGGTAGCTGGGAAACATGTTATCCAATATATTTCAGAACTCCCCTTGAGACTGAGTTCTCAGGAATGCCTTCCCAACCACCTTTTATTGGCTTCCTTTCTTTTTCCCACTGGCTTCCCCACTCCCCTCCTGGTGCTTCCTGCTATGCCCTCACAAGTTATACAGCCTTTGAAAACATATCTCAAGGATGGCTTCTGGGGGAGTCCAGCCAAGATATTATTAAAGACCAAAAAACAACTTATGTTTATTATGTCTCAACTATCTTTATGTGTTGAACTTGCACACCTGTAATACAAATACATCCCTAGAAAAAGAAAGTAATATTTTGCACAGACACTTTGAGTCCTAGGACTTTTAGCATGGCTTCATTTTTCTCTCCTTTACATCAGAAGGCATGTCAAAGTGTTGCTCCAGCATGCAATAACCCAACTGCCCTAGGATCATCCATTATCAAACACACAAGAAACACAAGTCAGAGACCTGGTAGTAGATGTTGGTAGGAAATTAAGTTTTCTGTGTCCCTGACAGTGGTACCCTGCTTATGGTGAAATTAAACCCTTTTGTTATCTCCCCTTTGAGTCTCAGTGACAGGCCATTTCTCAAATGAGGCAATCCTCATTACCTGTTATAGAAAACAAAGAAGAAGATGCTACTAATCACGTCACAGATGGAGGATATTTGCAAATGCAAAGGGAATCCTCTGGGCTATGAGCTGTCATTGTGGACAACACACCAACTTGGTTGGAGTGTATGCATCAGCCCAGGCAAGGGCCAACAACACTGAATGCATTTCAGTTAGGTCGTAGGGTGTGTTGGATTTCAAAGGAAAAAGGTTTTCTTCCTAGGTCACAGTCTCTTGAGACTGCTTTGCAACTGTACCTTCTTTAATAAGTTAGGAGCCTTCCTCTCTCCCAAGTATTCACCACAAGCTCGCAGGCACAGGTCAAGCAGTTAAAAGCCACAAGGGCACTCACTGCTAGAAGTCACCTGTGACAGGATTATCTGGGACGTGGACCAGGTTAGAACACCAGGTTTCCTGCCAGCAGCAAGCATAAGTCCACGCAATGAGAAACACACTGTAAAAATACTCACAAGCCCATCCCCATGGCACAACCCCCAACTAGGTCTAGGCTTGGGAAAAAGAAAAAGATTTTCCCTTTAATCGGCTTTGAAAACATCAACTAGTTACAGGACAATTTACAAGCATCTCAGCAGATTTTTTTCTTTTAAGCTGCCTCTTGCGGTCCTTTCCATTTTGTCTTTTCCTTCTGTCCACCTGCATAAGGAAAAGAGGATAATGAATGAGTGTTTCAGTTTCAACCGGACTCCGAAGGTCACTTTCCCAAAGAATTTAGTGTTAGTCACAGGTTTTGTATAAGAGCTTTTGACATTCGCCAGGCTCCAAAGACAAAAGGCACTTCCTCCCCTCCACCCAAGAAATTGGCTGTTCCTATATGTGTCGGAACCTTGAGAGGGATCAATTCCTGGGATGTGCAGGGGCCTATACGGACCTCTAACACTGCTTAATCTAACTTCTGGCTCATCCAGAAAGCACCTTATAAAGGTTGGTCACTTAGCACTACAAGCCCCCCCCCCCCACCTTCCGCATCACAGTCCTAAATGCTGGAGGAGAACCGGAAACCCATAAGCGGGGTGAGGGTACTCGGAAAGTCCGGTACCCCTCTCCCTGACTGTCTTTCACCAACAGCACATTTAGACCCACCACACATATCCCTCAATAGCTGACTAGTTAGGGTTCAGCACAGGCAGCGGAATCTGAAAAGACAAAAATCGAAAGTAAAAAGGAGCCTTTTAAGAGCAAGAATGGCCTCTGGTTCATCTAAAGAGCAGGAAGTTTATCTGAGGGTGTTACAGAAGCTCCTCAGGGGAGTGGGTTGCAAGGTAAAGGAACCGCATCTCATTCAGCTTTTACAAACTATAAAGGAATACTACCCTGTTTTTCCTGATGAGGAAACCTTAGATATTGGGAAGATTCAGGTGATAGGTTAAGAACTTTACATGATATTGGTGTTTCTATTGGAACTCAAAACTTAGTAACTTGGGGGCTAGTCAGGACTGCTCTCCTGACCATATGGGCTAGGAAACCAGAACTAGTCAAAAAGGAGGATAAAGAGTCTAGTTCAGAGGAGGAAGTCATATGTGATGTAGCGGAAGAACCAGCTATGAAAGTTCTGCCTACAGCACCACCAGAGGCCCTGCTTCATAGCTGTTGCTACTTACTTCAACCCTGGGAGAGTTCCTCCTCACAGGATGACTCATCACCAAGAGAGCCAAAAAATTTAGTCAGATATCCTGTTAGGGCCATGTGACGGTGCCTTCAGCAGGCAGGAGAGGCTGGGGATTCAGATGCCCATTCAACCTTACCCATTATAGTCAGGGGTCAAAGAAATGTCCATGAACCCCTTCCTTTTTCCCTTTACAAGGATCTGAAAAAGAGCATCAGAGAAAATGGGCTTCAGTCTCCTTATACTAATGGGGTATTTCAAGTCATCACTGACAGCTATAGAATGGCCCTTTGTGACTGGGTTTCTCTGGCCAGGACAGTCTTAACCCCAGCTCAGTTCACAGTCTGGGAATTCAGAGTACTCTCAGCTAGCCAGCCACCAAGCAGCCAAGAATGCACAAAT